CAGGTGGTCGGCATTGTTTGATGAATGAATAAATTAATGAACAGGTGAATGAACGAGGCAGAGAAATAACCAGAATGGCTACCAGGTCCAAATGGCTCTCTGCTGTACTTAACTGCCACCTTCTCAGATTCCCTGACCCCTTATTTAAGCTGCAGCCCGACTGACCCCTTTCCCTCATCACACTTTACTTTTCCCCATAGCACGTGTCACCTAACATACGATGCGTTCATTTAGCATGTTTCCTGTTTCCCCCTGTCTCCCACCACAGAATGTAAACTCCAGGACGTCAGGAATCTGAGCGTGCTGTCCACTAACGTACTCCAAGCGCCTAGAACAGTGCCTGGCACATGGCAGGCACGTGTAAGAACCAGCGAGTAAAGGGGTGCATGAATGAATGAATAAACGAGCGAATAGCAGTTCTCAGCCTCATAGAAGAGGGGTCACAATCTCAAATGCGCTGTCCGCCTGCCCCGTAACGAACAGAGATGTAGGAATGAGTCCTGGGTTCGTTCCTGACTCGTCAACACGCTAAACCAGTCCACTAAAACCGCCCAACAGCCCGCTGGCCACCAATGTGCAGTCCAGGGCACCGAGCAGAATATTCCCATTTTGTGGATGGAGAAACTCTGGCCAGGTAGCTTAAGTGGCCTGCAGCGGATGACAGAGCCGGTGCTGTACTGGTCACTGTCTGCCTCCGTCCCCCTCCGCTGTCCTTTCTGGGTCCCCTGTCTGACGGAACTCAGACCCCAGTTCTGCGAGTCGGTCGCTCTCCTCCCGCGCTCGGAGGGCAGAACCTGGTGTCCTTGGGAGCGGCGTGCCCGGCCCTGTCGCGGGATGCAAAGGGAGTGCGCGCCTGGGTCCTCGAGTCCCCGGGAGCCCGACTCCCGCCGCCCCCGGGCCCGCGCCGCGCTCCCGCCCCTGCCCACCCCCGGCCGCGCTGTCAGTCTCCATTAGCACTAACAGGCTCCAGACGGAGCGGGCCGGGCGCTGGGCTAATGCAATCGGCGCGTTACCTGGGGCGCAGGCTACATTACCGGCCCGGCCCCCGCCCGGCGCGGCCAGACCCAGCCAGCCCGCGCCCCGCCGGTCGCCCCGCGCCTCCAGCGCTTCCCCGGCCGCGCCCGAGCGCCACGCGGCGGAGCTCAGCCCCAGGCCGCGCCCCAGAGCCCCGCAAGGCGCGGCGGGTCGGGGGCAGGCAGGGCGCACCGCACCCGGGACAGCCTCGCCGCCGGACACGTCAGTGCGCCCTGCGCGCGGGACCGAGCTAGGCGTGACCGGCCTGGAGAGGCCAGGGCCGGGACGCGCGAGCCCGAGTGGCAGCAAGTTTGTAGTGCACAGGTGTAAGTGTCCGGGAAGGCGCCCGGGGCTGCCGAGGTGGCGCAGACCTGAGCTGGGGAGGGGTGCGGCACGCTGCACCGGGCCCGGTCACAGCCCTGGGAAACCTCTGCCTCGGTGCGTCCAAACCCCGCCGTTTGGGGGCGAGAGAGCGCGGGTGAACGAGGGAGGGCGCTGCGGGGTCTTCGGCAGGACCCGCAGGGCGGTCTCCGACTCCGAGCTCCGTCCCAGTCGCGCGCACAACCTCTGTGTTCCAACAGACGCGCGCCCTTTCCTGGCAAGCTGGTGTCCGCTCAGCGCGTGCTGATCCTAGTGTCCCTGGCGCTCCTAGGGCGTCCCAGGAGGCGCAAGCGGGGAGGAACGGCCCGGTGACCACCTCTTTTCCTTTTATCCAAGCAGAGGCTCGGCGTGCCCTGGGGACCAATGAAGTCCCTCTCGCCAGCCGCACCCATGCTTCTGGCGCGGATGAACCCGCAGGTGCAGCCCGAGAACAGCGGGGAGGACCTGGCGCCCGAGCAGCCCCTGCGGGCGCGCAAAACTGCGGAGCTGCTGGTGGTGAAGGAGCGCAACGGCGTCCAGTGCCTCCTGGCGCCCCGCGGCGGCGACGCGCAGCCCAGGGAGACCTGGGGCAAGAAGATCGACTTCCTGCTGTCAGTGGTCGGCTTCGCGGTGGACCTAGCCAACGTGTGGCGCTTCCCCTACCTCTGCTACAAGAACGGCGGCGGTGAGCGCCTGGTGGAGCTGGGGGGGTTGAACTTGGGGGGCTACCTGTCCGCAGCGGTGGCCGGGACAGGAGCTGGGCTACACATGGGAGGAGAACGAGGAGACATGGTGGCAAGTCTGGGGTGCAGGAAGGGGCTGGACACGGCTCACAGAAAAAGAAGGATCGGAATGTTCAGTGGAAGAGTGAAATCGAGGCATGACCTCGGACAGCGATAGGCGCATGGGTGGAAAGACAGAATCCGGGGCGCCACGTTGGGGCAGGAACCTTGACCTGATGGGCCTCAGGAAGGGAAGCGGAGACTTGGAGGGCTCTTGCAGGAGCACCGTAAGTCTGTGGGATGAGACAGTGAGGCACATGGTGACCCTAAATCCAGCACTCTGAGCCTTGAGGCAGGGACTTCTGGGCCAGGAAGGGATAGAAGACTTGTGTTCCCTCAAGGCACCCCGGGAGGCCCCGCACTCCTGGGGACAGAGACCCTGGAATAGGTTGGCAGTTGTTTTGCTGGAGGGGTCGGCGTGCTCAGCCTTAGCGGGATCAGGTCGGTAGGTGCCAAGAGCTGGCCTGGTCCTCGAGGCAGGATGCCTGGGTGATTGGGATGAAAGTCCTGGCCACATTGCAGGGCGGAATTGGAGAGAGGCTGATAAGACTCCAGTGGAGCAGCCAGGCTGCTAGTCAGATTATGCACCTGCCCTGGCACGAGCACCCAGAGGTCACCTATGGTCAGTCAGGAGGAGGGTGGGATGCCACGCTGGGGGAAGCAGCCTGCAAGTCAGGTGCTGAACCCTAAGCCCAGCTCCACCCTGAGGAGCTTTGTCCCCAGAGTGCCCAGACCACCCCAGTCCTGCTACTTTTGCTGAGATGAGCTCAGAGGTGCCCTGCTGAAAGCCAGGGAAAATGACCTTCTGGAGGAAGAAATTGAGGGAGGGGAGCCCTGGGAACCCCTCTCTATCCACAGGGCCACTGCCCATCAGTGGCTGTGACTCAGGACTTGGGGGAGGTCAGAGGGAGGGAGGGCAAGAGTTTGGAGCCGGGTGAAGGGAAAGCTTATGACTTTGTTCCGTAGACTCTGGGACTCACAGCTCTTCCATGTGGAGTCTGGACACTTGCTTTGGAACGGGCAATGCTTGGTGTTTGCAAAGAAAGAGCGGGGGTGACCATAGGGAGCAGAGGATGCTGCTAAGAAAGCACCTGGCTCTTCCTATGAGGAAGTTAGCCCAAGGTTGGAGCCACAGATGAGGGTCTGAGTCCGTGATCTCCTTTGGCACCTCCTGAGCTGGGTCTGTCATTGTCACATACTCTGAGACAAGATGTCTGGGACAGCATTCCTGAACTTCAGGAGTATCTGAGGCCTGGGGCCTGACCCCTTGGGGACATTTGCTACTCTGCAGGCTCAGTAGTTGCGTCTGACCCTAGGATGGGGGTGGGCGGAGAGAGAAAGGTGAGAAAAGGGAAGCATCGTGCCGCTTCTCAAGGGTTTCTGGGCAGGTTTGAGCATTCTGGCCCTTTGGACCTAAGGAGAGAGAAAATGCAGATTCTGTGTATTTTTAGCAACCAGGGAGATGACGAATGAGGGACAGATTGAGAGACCTTAGGACACACCATCCCTCATGTCCTCAGTGGCCATCTGAGACTGCTTGTCCCTAGACAGGGGAAGGCTCTATCATCAATCAGCAATATTTATCTGGTTCCTCTCAGTGTGAGGCACAGTGCGAGGGCCCACCGGGGTCACCTAGATGCATGAACAGCCACTTCTGTCTGCCAGGAGCTTAGTCACCTAAGGTCTTCTTGTCGTGCTGCTGCAAGTTCTTCCCATTGTCACCCATGCTTGTTGAAACTGAAAGCACCCCAGACGACCAACTTGGAAGTCAGCTAATGGCCATTCTGGGGCTTTCTCGGGCTGTGTGCTCAGCCATTACCACCAATGCAGGCAAAGAGCACCTGTTGTATGCAAGGTGACATGCCAGGTTCCTAGGGTACCACATGGAACAAATTTGTCACAGGTTCCCATCTTAGGCGAAGTTGGCTGGAAGCTCCTTCTCCTGGGCTTGCCAGCCCTGCACACCGCCCATCTCAAGTTGTCAGGTGATTTGTGTCTTTGTGGGTCTGTCTCCCAAACAGGCTGGGGCACATTGAGGGCAGAGACTGTGGCTTTTTTGTCCCTGTATTTCTCATTCCCAAGATAAGACCTAGATCCTAGGAATGTGGCAGAAGGTGCCCAACAAACTTCCAAGCCCTCAGAGACCTCCTGACGTATCCAGAAACAACAATAGAAACACTTGGTGATAACTAACAAAGTAAAGTCACAGGCAGCTTACATGTTGGGAGTCTTGGCTGTAGAGTCCTGGGTTCTAGTTCCTACCTATGTGGCTTTGGCAGCTCATAAGACCTCAGTTTCCCCATCTATCATATGGCCGTAATGCTGTTCAGCTGGGAGCATTATTGTGAGGACAAATTGCAGTAATGCCCGTGGAGAGCCCAGCCTGGAGTCTGGCCTTAGGAAAGGTGGCTGCTGCTTTTTATTAACATCATTGTGATAATGTGTAACATGGGTGGAGAGGTGACAAGTATTCTAAAGGCCCAAGGAGGGGCTGCTTAGGAAATACGCAGAGGGGGTGAGCTGTGGTTGGAAGCCAGTTGCTCTGGAGGGGTGGGCACAGGCAAGCCGTGGGCAGGTATTCCAGCTGGGCACCAGGGCAGGAACGTACGTGGAATCCTCCCAGAGCCTAGCAGCGCAGGCTGGCTGAAGGGCAGGCCAGGAGAGATAAGGAGGGCAAGTTGGGGCTGGGCTGCGGAGGCCTTGAATGCCAGGCTAAGGGGTGGGGACGTTGTTGTACCAGTGACTTTCCATTTCTGGTTAGCACGTCCACACAGTTGGTGTGGGGGAGCAGTGCAGCCCCCCGATCTTGGAGTATGAGGCAGCTCCTTTCTCACTTACCCCTCACCCCTCCAGGCTGCTCAGCTGTTGCACTCTGGGCGTATTTCTGCCGAGACCTCCTGGCTGTTCCCTGTTGGATCAATTCTCATCCGGTAATTCTGAAGTTAGCCTCAGACATAGGCAAGCGGGCAGGAAGGTGGGTACCCCACAACTGTGGAAGCAGCCAGAAGATCCACGTTTGAATCCCAGCTCCGCCGCTCACTGTGTGACCTCAGGCAGGGCACAGCCCCTGTCTGAGCCTCCAGTTGTCTGCTCCAGCTGGACATAGCTTAGATGACTGCTCCTGTAACCCCCAAGATGCGTCTCTTTCCAATGACCTGGCTCAGGGCTTAACCGAAGCTGGGACTCACCCGCCCTATTATTTAATAGCCCTCAGTCTGTGTGCTCTTCTGGTGCCAGTATTAACAGAGTAACTCTCCAATTCTGACTGCTCACGCTGGCCCAGACTGGAGGATGTTTTGAAATAATGAAGGTGCCAATAGTTTAGGCCCCTGGCTAATATTTTCTGAATGAATTACTAGGGAAGATCAGCCTGTCTGAACATCTTACCGAAGGCCAGCTGCTGGCAGGCACGGGCTGTGGGAGGTTTCGGGAGGGGAAAGCCACTCTTGGAGATGCTGAGGCTTTGTTCAGAACCTTCTCAAACAGCTGGCCTCTGTGGGAGGGCGCGACCAGGCAGCGGGGCTGGTTCAGGGTTCTAGATTTTCCCTCCCTCACCTTCTCTGAACTGAGCCTCAGTTCCCTTGTATAGAAAAGGAGAAAGCCCCAGCACCTTTTGGCAAGGTAGGATGACATCAGAGACAGTACGTGTAAACCACCTGACATGGTGCCATGTAATAGGAGCTCAATAAATGTAGTTGTTAATATTTTGTTATTGTTCAATGATACTGGCTGCACGCTGGACCCGGGAGTGGGCAGGGTCTTGATTTTGGAAAGAGCAGAATTCATCCTAAGAGGAACTCGATGGAAGGAAACACAGCTGCAAAGTGGTGCCACTTGGGCCCGGGGCCCTGGCATGGTGGAAAGACCCAGAAATCCAGAGCCAGGCTTCACTCCACATCCTGACAGCCTGACCGCGTCTCACCATAGATTCTCCACCTGGAAAAGGGGGTTCGCGTTCCTGCACGGGGTCCCTTGAGGGCACCAGGAGATATTGTGGTTCTAAGTTCCCAGTGGACTTCCCTTCCTTCCCCAAGGAAGCTCAGGGGCTCAGGCACCCATGGCCCTTTTGGGAACCCTCTTGGCCAAAATATCTAGGATTCTCGAAACCAGGTGCAAAGGAACGACTGGTGCAGAGGTCAGGAGTTTCCAAACTCAGGCCACTTACATCTGGCCTGGCCGCAGGGGGCCGTCTACACCCTGTGCTTGCTGAGCCAGACACAGATTGCTCAGCTCGGGTGCACAAAGAGACAGCCAGCTGGTGTGGCGTTCCGCTGACAAGTCTGCGCTCCCCTTGGCGGCAACGAGGTGCTCATCTGGGACCTTGATCTGGGGTCACCAGCGTGATTTGGCCCATTCCTCCAAGCTTGCCAAAGGATGTGGAGAGGCTGTTCCCGACAAGATGTGGTTTAATAGGGATAAATGGTGCATCCTGCCCTGCAGTCCCCAACCCAACTGCCTAAGTAAGGATTAGGTCACAGCGCAAGTGGAGAAAGGCCCCGGGGCTTTCATTAGCTGCATCCTCCCTGGGAGTCGCTGCTGAGATGCACTTATTTAACCAGAACCACTTACTACATGCCTGTCACATGCCGGGGATATGGAGATGCACAAGAGACAATCCGTGCATTTAGGGAGCTCATAGTCTACTGCAGATGCTCTAAAAGTTAATGTCATTGTAGACTGTATTATTGAAGGTATTATATCCCAAATGAGGGAGGTAAGGTCCTACTCTGTTCTTTGTGGGCCGTATTTCCCTCTGCCGTGTAGTTCTGAGCGTCCCAAACACCCTCTGACTTGTTTCCTTTAAAGAGATCAGGATGGAGGAAACAGGAGACCAGAATCTTCACAGAGCTTTCAATAAAGCCACAGCTTTAGTAGTAAAAATCGAGCCCAGATCCTCCAAAGT